CATGTATATTGGAATTATCGGAACTTGTCAAATGCTTTGATAACGGAGTTACATTTTGCCAAGGCAGTTGTGTTATTTTCGTCTTCTCAACTGGATTACTGTCGCAGTTTGGGTTTTACTTTTCGGTCTGTATTGCCTATCCCTACGTCTAACCGTCAATCTTGTAAAATTGAGGAGTACCAGACTGGACACCCCACCAACACCCCTTTCAACGCCTAATTCATTTGAATAACAATAAAACTTAAACATTCATTATGCAAGAGCTAAATCTGCCTATTGCAGGTCTTTCTTTAGGCCTGAAATGTTATACATGTATATACTATTAATTTGACATTTATTAAGAAACCATAATTAACCCTCGATGGCATCGGATACTCGAGATTTTTTAACTATATTAGAACGGTTCGCCATTTCAAAATTTCATTTAAAAATGGGAAAGCGAGGCTAAGTCTCGTATGTACCATTGTCCTGGTTACCACAATGCACACATTATGTAAAAACTACTAACAGTGATAACTTGGCTCAGATCGAAGTAATTTGAGTGAAATTTTCAATATTTTCATTTCACATTACCTTTTTTTAAGCTGTTATAGCAAGAATGGCCAGCTCTTTATCTAAAGCTTACATAATGTATCTTTAATGGACTTTATTCAGTGATTACATGTCGCGTTTGATACCTTGGTATTTCAAGTATTTCTGCTATTTCCCAACTGCTACCCATCCCGTTTGTAAATTGTTCAAATGGGTTAATTGTAAACGAATTGACCCATAGGCTAGTATACGGATATATTGCCTACAGAGACGATAATTCGTGTAAGTGAATGTATTATTGATGAGTTTCGTGTAATTGAACCGCCATTGATGTTAATAGATCACGTGACGTAACAAGCGAACAGATATCCATTCATTTAAATGGACTGAATATTATATAGGTCACACGTTTGCCCTGAAGGTTCGTCCGATCGTGGGGCTAAACGTCCGCTTCCGCTGAGTGTGATATCGCAAACAAACCCTGGAGGCAATAACGTTAAGTAATCTAAATTTAACGTGTGAAGGAAGTGGCACAGTGTTTGGCCTGGGGTAATGGTTAGTGCTAAATGATAAGACCAGCTCAATTTTTCGTCATAGATCACGAGATGTAAACAGAACCAGCGATAATCCCAACCCTAGCCCTAACCGTGGACCTAGCCCCAAATGCTTACCTCAACCCCTAACCTACAATCTCGCCAACAATCACGTGCCCTGGCCTTATTTACATCTCAGCGACCTTGACAAAAAGTGAGCTGGCCTTAACAAATAGATTCATCCCTGGGGTAATAACGTGACGTAACATAATATGTATGAATTATGTTTAGCAGAAGTGACGTAGTGTTTGTGATGTATTATACCTAATGACTTGGAAAATGTGATACCTTATAATTATAACGTTGCTTCGAGGTGGCAATGTGTAATCTTAGCGCAAGTTATTGATTTTATTGACAACATGCCGTAATTGCGCCATAAAATATAGCTTAATATGAAATAATAACCATTTAACGGACTGGAGTGCGGATTAACATCCCTAGGCTATTTTCAATGCTCGCGTGTGTAATGCGAGAGAAGAGAACTTTGTCCGGAAAACGGCACTTCCACCCACAATTCCTCAAATTCGTGCACATGAACATATCAATTTCAGTTCCGTCAGAACGAATATGCAATACTTTTCTGGTGATAACCACAAACACTATCCCGAACAGTGGGAACCGGAAGTGGTTAATATGAGAGAGATTTATTACTAGGCGTGTTAATTTTTAATAGCTTATGATATGGAAAATATGATATGAATACAAGTATTATTAACGGTGATTTGCTGAAAGAGTGGCCTGTTATCTAGCAGCAAATATCGATTTTTTTTTTAACATAATCATGAACGAGATTTCCACAAATAGACTGAAAACTGCTTAGTAGCCATATTGTATATCTACAGAATCACAATAGTGTATGGGGATCATCAACAAAAATAGGGGTGGCCGAATGAAAATGAAATGGGTTTTAACATCCTCTTGTTCTGCTCCGACTGGGCCAATGAAGACAGGCATACGCCATGCACTGTGCTATGAGGGAAATCTTGCCCGGGCAGCGGATAAACGGCCTACGTTTATATCGAATTACAACTTTCGAGGGTTCTTTTACGTGTACGCCAATGTGTATACAGATCCTCGGTTTTTCGTCCCATCCGAACGACTAGGCGTTTAACCACGCCAGAAAATACAGAAAAACTTTCTCTTCTCGTCCAACACGGGACCCAAGGTTAGCGAGTCAACGTCTTACACACTGAGTCACCGTGGCCCCCCATCCAGGCTAATGAACACAGGCAAGTGCCATGCAGTGTGCTATAAGGGAGACCTCTCTATAATACGATCTGACATGTATGTACCTATTTAAGTAATTACAACATCTACCTATACATCAATGTCAGATTACTTCAGGTACATATTATAAATGAGTCATTTAGAGTGAAGCCTATATGACCAGAGGCGTACTGAGAGGGTTTTTTTTCTCGAAGTTTGCCCATCATACGAAAAACACACTACACTATACATGTACATCAAACATTCTTTCTGACTGTATGTTGTGGTGGTGTTTTTGATTGTATACAGTGTGTTGTACTGTACACAGTTGGACTGTATCGTTCTAATATCCCGGCAGAAAAAAAATGTGTTCAATGCAATAGACCAAAGTTGCAGTTTTCTAAAATGTCACCCTAGACAGACCTCACATCACCCCCTTCACTCAATATTATCCATACTCGGCGAGCCACCAAATATAATTCAAGCCTTAGAATAAGACGTTAGGTACTTAAACTATAATCTTTGATGGCATTTAGCGACTGAACATAATATAACACAACACGGTTCTATGGCCTACACTACTTAAAGATTTTACCGATTGTACTGGGAGGTCGCGTAAGGGGTCGTACGAGCGGCTTTTGACCCTATAATGTCAGACATTGATTAATCAATCAGCGTTGACGTTTCTATTGGTTTACACACAGTTCCATGCATCGCACGCCAAGAACTGGCCGTAACAGACCGTTTCATTGGCTAATCCCCCACTTCAACCCGAACGCCGGTAATATAACAACTCTTCCAGATCCTAGTGTAGTAAACACAAGTAAAACGAAAAATTTTGAACTATAAAATGAAACGAATTAGGATCAGACGAAGATCCCTTGAGAGTTGGAATTCGATATAAGAGTAGGCCATAGGCCGCTGTCCGGGTGTATGCCTGTCTTCATTAGCCCATTCGGAGCTGAACAGTAGGGTGTTAAACCCCATTTCATTTCGTAATTGTGTATGCTTGATAACGACCAGTGTGACATTTTGTGGATACGTCGTGTGTATATAATATAGTGAGTGTGTTGTGTTATTAAACTATGTTTGTGACTTGAAGCAATAATTAGCGGATAAGTAATCACGTTTATGAAGAAAAAAAAAACCCACTCCATTTTTTATAAATTTCAATGGAATTATTTTTACGTGTTTAAAAACGGATGTAAAAGTTTATTATTATTTAAAATACATGTAAACGTCAGCTTGCAGATACTTTCGTTAAATATATGTCTTTGTTTTTGTTTTGTCTAACTAATTGTGTTGTATATTCAGTCTGCATTTCATTGTCCAGTTATCCTGTAATGTCTGCCTACGTGCTTAGTACAATATGGTGCAGGGCAGAGAGAGAGAGAGAGAGAGAGAGAGAGAGAGAGATTTAACGTCCACTCGAGGAAATTGGAGGACGCGTTAACCATTTAGTCACCCAACCCCCAGGTGAAGGTCGGGGGGGGGGGCTGACAAGGACACAGTGTCTAGTCGTTCGGACAATACAAAAAAGAACAGGTCCAGTGTACACCGTGGTGTGGTGAAAGTAAACCAATCCTTGACAGTTGGAATTCGATATAAGAGTAGGCCTATTACAATTCGATATATAAGAGTAGGCCTATTACAATTCGATATAAGAGTAGGGCTATTTCATTTCATTTCATATAGAAATTTGTTGTGTTGTTCTCATAGTGTTCATTTGGTATTGGATGTTCAGATCTCCAGGCATTGGGCATTTACTATGTGGACTATGATGGCTTACAATGTCAGTGTTATGTTTTGTTAGTTTACCTTATGGCTTGTGTTTGTTGCATGCGGTGTTCACAAGTAAAGGGTTGCATGTTCGTTCGGTTGGGACATAATCCCGAGGTTCTCAACACGTACATATTGGTGTGCACGTAAAAGATCCCTTGGCCGTTGGAAATCTAAGAGTAAGTGTTTGCTGAAAATTATCCTACCCCACATTGCAAACTTTAACCATACATTACGAATTACCATAGATTATTCTTAAAATGGCTGAATTGTGTTTCCTTTTTGTTGTGTGTTTTGTGGTCTCCTTGCTTGTGGACTTTAAATGGAACATAATATTCCATACATGAAAGGTTTCTAGTGTTGTTTGATATGGCTGTGTGGATGACTCATCTCAAGTCTATAGAACTGAACGAGTGGAGAAATAGCTGTACATGCCACAAGGGGGGAAAACACGCCAATAAAGCAACCACGACCGATAAATATGACGTAATAACTATAATCAAATACGTCGCATTCCTTCTTATTCAACACCCACAATAGAATATTGACTGGTCGATGCAATAAATATGTAATAAATGGCATATAATAATATGCCATATTGTTGATCAATAACAACAATATCGAGAACAGGCCCCCTTGTATCACAGTCAATGTTCTTATCGATTACCGAAATAAATGTCCAAAACTGTGTTAGTTTCTGGCTGCGTAGATTGTAAACAGGAATTTAGGTCAGTCATTTAGTTTAGAGATAAGCCATTATTTACAATAAACGTGTGTTTGTTACTGAGCACGTTCTGTTTATCGCGTTCTCTGAACGTGAACACGCTCTCTCAGATGCAGACGTGAACCGCCACTTAAAATGTTAATGAATGGAGTAAACTGCGAACTCACCGTTTTGATACCAATCCGATTCTATTTCTAAGTCTCCCGTCTCGTAAGTTTCACACTCTTCCATATTTACTCCTGTCAGTTCTCATAACACAATGCACGTGCGGGCATTACACTCCTATACTGGCCGGTTGCAAGCTAAACTCGCCGTGGAAAAACTGACAGCTTTTGACGTGGCAAACACACTTCCGAGATTCACATATCAGTCACATTGCAGTCACGTGATATACTTCAAAGCGTAGCAGACGAATTTTAGATGAGCCAGACAGATTCATTCCCGCCTTAAAACAAAAGCCCAATTAGTTAAACCTGTCCTGATTTGTTGTTTCTTTACCAGTTTGACAGATTTTAAAAGTAGAGTCGACAATTATGTTCAGCTCAGTGACAACATCTTGACAGATGGTAGGTGGAGCCTAACTTTGATATTGCTGAAAAAAAAACTATAAGAAAAGACAGAAATAAGTTAGTTCTTATTTACGTTCATTTGCACAGATATGCACTTTGGTTATGGGCCCATTATCTACCGAAACGAGTGTTGTACACGATGTAGTGTATTCACAGACATTCTAGAATACTCAATACCATGGGGAGATTTACACGTAGAGATTAAAGCCCCGGTGCGGCATTTATCGCTAAAATACACTTAGTTTGATTATTTAACATTTAATTAAGAAAACAAAATCAAACTACCAACGCTAGATAATATCCTGGCATGGATCCAGTCAAATTTTTAAAAGGCCTATCAATAAATTTTCTCGGATAAAAAAATTGGCGAAAGGCTCGTTGCATATCGAGCAGTCAATTCCACTTCTATCTATCTATACTAATATTTGTGACTGTCGTTTGTCTGTCTGTCTGTCTGTCTGTTCGGGGTTGGCGGCTACACTAGGTCTGCCCCGAGTCTGAAATTTGGGGTAGCTCGGACCGGGGAGTAACATAGGCCAGGTGGCGTTAGTCTACCACTTCCGGGTTCGGGGTTATGACTCCCGAGCGAAGCCGGGCATTCTTCTAGTACTGAACATAATTTAACCATAATTGGACTGATATTCCTATTAGAGATTCATCTTTCACGATAGTATAGTGATTCAATAACGCTAACAAGATCCATTGAGACTAAAATACCTAATTTATTCCAATTTCGTGGGTTTTCTCCGGGTCCCCCGGTTTCTACCCACTGCTAAAGACCCCTACGCGCAAGCGAATTATTGAAATAAAATTGAACCATATGTTAGTCCTAAAATGAAATGGGGTTTAACGTCCTGACTGTTCTGCATCGACTGGGCTAATGAAGACGAGCAGACGCCATAAAGTGTGGTATGACAGCAATTTTACCCGGGCAGCAGCGCTACGGCCCGCTCTCATATGGAATTCCAACTGCCTAGGGATCTTTTACGTGCACACCAATGTATATAAGGGACCTTGGTTATTCGTCCCAACCGAACGAAATGTCTGTGGGCTTTCAAGAAAAGTATGTCTAGACATTCACATTGACGTGTACGTGAAAGACACCTGGCAGTTGGAATTCGAAGAAGAGTAGTGGAAAACCCGCTGCCCGGACAAAAACCAACCCTCATGTTACACACACAACAATTAGTCTCAACATGCCCGAAGAATTATGTTGATGTTTAAATCTCAATCCATTCGTCTGGAATGAAGTACAGTTTCTTAATTTGAAGAGGGAGAGAGGGAGAGAAATGGTGTTTAACGTTCACTCGACACAAACTAGGTCATTTCGGGACTAACATATGGTTTAATTTTATTTCAATAATTCGCTTGCGCATAGGGGTCTTTAGCAGTAGGAGGAAACCGGAGGACCCGGAGAAAACCCACGAGGTTGGACAGGCGACCCTACTGCTTGTCACATACAACCGGGGATTCGAAACCACGCCAGTCGACTCAATGACAGACTTTATGATACAGCACGCGCACGCTAACCATTCAGTTATCCAACCCCCCTTAATTTGAAAAACTATATAGATAATTGTTTCTGTTTCTCGCCGCTGCCCTGGCAAATATGTCTACAAAAAGAAATGTAATGGAGACGGACATACGCCATGCAATGCGCTGAGGGAAATTTTGTCTGGACAGCTATCAAGGGTTATTTTACGTGCACGCCAATGTGTACACGGGACCTCGAGTTTTCGTACCATCCGAACGACTATACGTTATCCCTTGCCCAGTTCCCTGTCCTACACCACCGACAAAGGGGAACCACGCTGAACGTTCTAGGCCAGCGCAGGGATCGAACATCAACGTCTTACTCACTGAGCCACCGTGAATCCCAAACATGTCCTCATTATTTCAATTATAATACGTAGATTCGGATTTTGTTTAAGCTTACCTGTACTGCGACCCCTTTGTTCAAATTTATTTAAAAGGGAATTGTGGAGGATTAGATAAAGAGATGACAGTTCTCACTATAATAGTTAAACACTAGATAATGTAAAGGGAATATGCTGAAAATTTCAGTCAAATTGCTCCACACTGAACCGAGATATTAGCGATTGAATTTTAGGCCTAGCCTCGATCATCATTACTACAGTCGGTACGATAACAAAAAATAGCCTCGATTATCCATTTCTGCATGTAAAGATACATTATGGAAGATTAGATAAAGAGCTGGCAATTCTCACTATAATAGTTAAAAACTAGATAATGTAAAGGCAATTTGCTGAAAATTTCAGTCAAATTGATCCACTATATATATGGACCGAAAATTAAGCGATTGGAATTTCGGCCTAGCCTCGGTATTCATTACTAAAGTCGGTACGATAAAAAACATAATCTCGATTATCCATTTCATTATTAAATCATGAATGAAAGTTGAGCAGCAAATCGGATTATAATCCAATAAATTTCGCAGGCTAGCGTTGACATCGAGAGTTGATTATGGTCTGGATAAGTAAATTAATGTCTAATTAATAATTTAGATAACATTTCGGGCCTAAAGAAAGATCTGCAATAGGCAGATTTAGCTCTTGCATAATGTTTGTTCAATTTATCAATGAGCGTTGAGCAGCAGATCGGATTCAAATACAGTGAAAATCGAACAAATAAGATGGCATTGTGAGTTGATTAAGGTCTTTTTATGTTAATAAATGCCTAATTAATAGTTTATATAACATTCCAGGCCTAAAGAAATGCCTCCAATAGGCAATAACATATGTTTAAATTAAGTAGTTTTATCACATTCTGGACGAAGACGAGGTACATCGACGGGTTACTTATAGGATTAACTTATTATAGTAGGCCTACCCATACGATTACACAGGCCTATTTTATCAATTGAACTTCATATATTGAAGAATTTTTAAGGAGAAAAATGTAAACATTCCCAGCTAATCGGCTTACGGGTAATACACAATTGTATGAAGAGACAATTGGATTAAACGTCGGCGACAGACTTTAAAATCCTACAAAATGATGAGTACTTGAGTAATGATCTGTCCAGGCCGACATCTCCTCCTACGGAATTAAACGGAATTGAATTATGGGATAACGTCCTACATTTTCTACACCAGCTAATGAAGATGAACATACAGTGTTCCATGAGAGACCATAATTTACCCGAGTCAATACAGTGTTCCATGAGAGAGCTTTGTTTGAATTTATAATTTTACCATACACACCAATCGTCAGTATCGTGCTCGAACATTACCCAGACAGAGGCTTTTGATCATTTTTCATCCAGATTATTCGAAATTTCAAATTTACACATATTTCTTTAGTCGATTCGATCAACATAGCTTTTATTTACAATTCCCTTGATAACGTTGAGGTTAATGTAAAATATAGGTTTCCATATTAAAGGGCAATCATATTAAATATCCATCTGTACAAAAATATTGGACTCTTTCTTAACAGCAGGTGATACAGGGTCCTTCCATGGCATCACTATTCTTACCAGATGCCCGTTCCTTTCATAACGATAGTCTACAGGTGCCCGGCTGTTCCATAGCAACAATAGTCTTACAGTATTCTTTATTTGGCATTTAGTAACTGGGCAGATAAATACACTATAAACATACTTATGGAAAACAGCTACTGATTTATTTAGGCGACGTTTCGAAGAGTATTCTCTCAACGTTTTCAAGCTAGCTTATGGAAACCAGCTACTGATATGTTTAGGCGACGTTTCGAAGAGTATTCTCACAGAGTAAAAATAACTTCATGCTAGCTTGAAAACGTTGAGAGGATACTCTTCGGAACGTCGCCTAAATAAATCAGTAGCTGTTTTCCATAAGTATGTTTATAGTTTAAATAGTCTTACAGATAGCCGATTCCTTCATCACAACACTGGTCTTACAGGTGCCCGGTTCATTCATAACAACAATGTTTTTACAGGTACTCTGTTTGTAAAAGCCCAACCCTTATCACGTATTAATGATCTTATCATTTGTTCATCATATTCTCCGATAAACTGAAGAAAAATTAATATTTAATGTACATGTATCTTGAGTCCAAAGTCCTATTCCGACATAGAAGTCGTGAGGCGTTTTCTGAACACACAATACAGGGGAAATAACTCTTCTGGAATGAGACTCGTCTGGAAAAATACAGGTACTTCTCTTCTGTTGACTTCAATATTAATAAACAAAACATGAAATGTTTTCTCTAATTCATGTCTGTTTATTTCACAATTATTTTTCAGAATTGTCAGTCAAAAAAGTAAGTGAAAAGAACTTACCAGACAGCAGGTACAACAAGGTGACAAGAGCGATATGCGATGTCATATGGGTGGGATGGAGGAGGAGGTGTGTGTGTGGGTGTGTGTGTGTGTGTTTATTCTACCCAATGCCTCGGTCATATTGAGACTAACATTTATTAGTTCTATGGTTAAGTGTACGAGGTAGTAGGATTTGGCTTGGTGTACACGCGACCTCGTTTTATCGCCTGTTTGCTATTATAACATTATATACGTTTGTGACCGTTGTTTCTCTGTTCTGAGTTGGTATCTACACTAGGGCTGCCCTGGGCTGAAATTGGGGGTTTAAGGGGGAAAATCCGAGCCGGGAAGTGACATGGGCTATCTGACATTGTCCTAACACTTCACAAAATTCCTATAAGAAAGCACCTCGGATGGCAAAATATTAATTACATGTATATTAAAGTAGCTAAGTCTCTAACTCAATATCATCCAAAGGCTTTCACACTGAAAATACGAATTATTTGTCAATTCAAATCAACATTGATGTTGTGATCTTACCAGGAAAAGGTAGGCTTCT